GGGGCCAAGATTTTGTATGCTTCAAGGTATAACGAAGATTAAAAGCAGTATTCTTAAATGAACAGGGAGATGCTTATGCCAAAATATACATGAGTAATCTAGAGCATGATACAAAAATGCAAATGCAAGAATAGAAGGAAATCAGGACACTGTAATGCATATTGCTTTAATTTGAGGAGCAAAGGGATTTGAGTGGATTTCTAGGGTATAATGCAATACAGAATAATACAGTGTTTATGTCAGATATAGCTGATGAAAGCTCCCAACAGATCAATGCAGGAAAAGGGTATAAATCAGTAGTATTGGAAGATGTCACTTGAGAGCAAATCTATTCTCAAGCTAAGGTAATATTTTCTGATACTCCCTGTAGTTGAATACAGTTAATGTGAAACAATGTGGGAGAGAGAAAAAATAAATCCAAATGGCACTTGAGGGGAAAATGGAAGTTTAAAATATCATTCCCAGGATTCATCTTCTGCGCAGAAGGATTTCGGTGAGAGAGAGCACCCATCTGGATAGCAATCACGAAGATAAGGTTGCAATGGCCAACTTTGCAGTTGGGGCAGAGGAGAACTTCTGTTTGCCCAGGGCAGGGGACAGCACCCTTCGCTGAAGTATTGCCTCAAGGTGTTGCCCAGCTCTTGGCTCTGTGGACAAACCCCTCCTCTAATGGAGAGGCCGGCACAGTGCAGCTGAAATGGCAGGGCTCCCTGCAGGTGCGTAGGCAGGCGTTGCTTGTGAAATGAGCAAAAGATGTTGCCACATATTTTTCTTCGCGTTACATTATCTCATTCATTTTGACTGTGTTAAATCACTTGAAGTTAATGTTCTGTATACTAGTGTATGATGGTGTAAAACACCGCTTGCTTACAAAGTTATCTGAAACAATCAGCTTTCAATTGAGCATAGACTTTACTGAGCAAAAAGAAAATTAATAAACATAACTAAGAAATGACTATTCCTGTCTCCAGTAATTGCTTCTCCTTCATCATCTGTTGAGTTTTAATATGTAAATGAATGGAGAGAGACTTCTGGCTTTGCAGTCTCTGTGAGTGAAAGTTCTTGATGACAAATAACAATTTTGGAGAAAAGGAGAATTCACTGTATGGTGAACCCAAGCTAGGACTCATTTATACTGCTTTTAAATTGCTGGACTTATTTCTGGTCATCTCCAGCATGAAATCAGACCAAGGGAGCACTGACAGAGTGCTGGTCTTTTGCTTGCGCTGGGTTCCTCCCATCCATGCTGCACGGCTTCCTACCCCATTTTTTCCAGGGTTGTTGTAATATTCTTCCTCCAGTAAAAGAAAAGAAAAAGATGAGTAGGTCATTGTGGGCAGAACAAGAGCTGGCTGCAGTGGAGACGTGTGCCATCCCAGTCCCCTGGGACACGTTTGACTGTCTCAGCTGAGCGCATCGCTTCACTCCCGAGGTTGTGCATGTGAGGGCAGGAGACGCAGGCTGGGTAATTGCCACTTTTCTCTCCAAAACTCGGTTTAGCAGTACTTATAAGGATATCCTCTTCTTTTCTGCCTGCAGAAATCTTTTTACATGTGTCCACCTGCTTTAGCTTCTCTTTGGTTTCTCTATCTACCTAGAGCTCGGAGTTGAATTGATAGGTAGATAGGTTTGAAGTTATCCTCTTGTGCATGAATGCCTGGTTTTTGCAGATAAAATTCTCTGACATCTCAAACTTCTATCTTGAACATATATTAGACAAGTTGTTTTGTGTATGTGTGGGTGTATATATATATATATATATGTATTTGCAGTGCTCACAAAGTGATAGCTCCATTGAAGTTTCTCTTAGAAAATGCTTTTTTCCTGCACAGGCTGGAGGTGAGGGGAGGGGTCAGGTTTGTAAACCAGCCTCACAAGCTTGCTCTGACCTGGAATTCAGTTCACTCCAGGGAGGATTCTCAAATGCAGAGACATACAGAAGATAGTCTTGTCCTTGGGCCACCAACCCAGATTTAGGGTGTGTGGTTTCCACTGCCTCACCATGTGCCTGAGCCCTCCTCTGCCTCCGGTGTCCCTTTTTGTGGGGAGAAAGAAGCAGCTGTCCCTCCACCCACCCCATACCATGATTCCTGGTCTCTTTGCGGAGCTTCTCTGAGCCTCTTCTTCTCCATCACCTGATGGTAGTGCTGGGCTGCTTTCCTAGAGGCAGTTTTGCAGCAGGGACCATAGCAGACCCACGGTTGGGAGGTGATGTGACCTCCTTCCTCCAGTCTGCCACTCGCAGATTTTCCCCAGGTTTTGCATTAGCCATTTTGCACACTGGCTTTCCACTGGTTCCAGTGCAGCCTGTGTGGAATCTCGTCCGGTGTTCCTTGTTTGCCCAGGAATTACTTTGTGTCTGACTGCAACGATGGCCCTTGCACAGCTCACCAGGTGATGCACATCTGTGATTTATCCTTTTGCTATTAATCACACATCCAATGTCTGTGCCTTCTGATGATGATCTTATTTTTTTCCTCAAATGGTGCATAATAAGAAAGACTGAGGACTTATAACTGGGACTCTTTTAGAATTCATCTAACGATAATTTTCTTTTATAGTTATCTTTAAAGGCCTGTTGTTTAAACATTTTCCTTTCACCTATGATGTGCCAGGTTAATTTTGGTTAGAGTTCTGTACCTAAGCTGTCAGAGTACAGAGTAAATTATTTTGTAGAAGTCTGTTACATATTAGAGTATGATATCAAATTAACAAAAAATTACCTTCATGAACTCATGCTGCATTGCATTAAGTATGTTATTTTTTATAACTGTTATGAATTGAACTCTGAACCAGCACATCATCCTTCCCAGGATCTGGGCCAGCCTAGGGTTTGGCCAGGTCATTTTAATTTTGAAAATCAGTATAACATTGACAGTCCTCCAGCCCCCTGCAACTTCCAAGACTTATTGAAAATTCATATTAACATTTCAGTGCTAAGGCTTCTGGATAGCTTTGCTTACATTTACGTAAATAAAAGTTTAACATAGCTGAAACTGAGGCTAGCTCTGAGGTGGGAAGGAAGCAAAGCATGAGCAGGGTAGACAGGACTGCTCAGTGCTCGATAGGAGTTGCTAACCAAGAGCCTTGTGGTGGCTTTGAGAAGTCATCAAGCACTCAGGTTCCGGGTAAAAGAGCTGATAAAATGAGAAGAAAGACTAACTTGGGAACTTTGCTCCTCTGTCTCTTCCAGCAGTGCAAACAGGGAAGAGACGCGCTGAAGGAAACCCCGAAGGAAACCCTGGGAAAGAAAATGGGGACTGGACATGAAGTTGAGGACCGTGTCGTGGTCTGACTGGGGAGCTCAGAAAGCCATGCACCAAATCCCCAACCCTCAGACAGGGGCTGCAACTCCCTGTTCCTCTGTTGGGGGAGGTTGGATCGTATGTGCACAAGTCCCCAGGGAATTTCAGGATTAAATGTCACTCTCAGGAATGTAGTAACTTTGCTTCTTTTAAATACATTTTCAGCCCTTTGCTGATAATTAAAGTTCAAGGTTGAGATGCTTCTTTCCTTGTGGACATTTGCTTTGATTCCTGATGTGCTTTACTGAAAAATCTCAAACATACAGCAAAGGAGGTGACAGCATGTCAGAGAACTACATACTTAGTTCTAGCAGTGAGTCAATCAGACATCTAGGCAATTACCCTCTGCTCAGGATGACAACTGAGAGATGTGTTTATTCTGTCTCCAGGAATCTCTGTTATTTTAGGATCCTTTCCAGAGTGCAACCAGTGCTAACTCGTCAGTATGTGGAGACTCTTGTTTATGCTTTGGTTTCCTATCTGGGTGGGATTATTCAGTTATTGACTTGCTGGCCCCCACTCAACCTTTTAAATTCATTTCTACCTTCCACACAATTTCTTGGCAGGAGCTGCAGGCTGTCTAAGCCCAAGCCCTCATATCTTCATCTGTGCTGATGAATCTTTTATCTGTTTTTCAAAGGGTATTAGCTCTTCCATGAGCTGTTAGGTGGCACCTCGCTATCACGACTCCTGCGTTCAGCTGTGGTTTGGCATCTCCCACAGCCTGACACAGTGTTTTGCTGGTCCTTCCCAGAGCTTCTCACTACGATGGCTCTTGCAGAGACAGGACTCACTCTGCTTGTGCAGTGGGATCCCTGTGTAAAACCCTGCTCTTCTTTACATCCCTATAAAGTCGTTGACCTCAGAGGCATCATTGCAGGTCCATACTGGCATACCCAAAAGCCAGCTATCACCCATCCTCTCTAGATATACTGTAGGCACACTGCAGACAGCGGCAGTTACAACTCCTGCCTGAATCTGATTAGCGAGCTAAATATCTTCTGCTCCATGGGAGCACCCAGTGCCATATAAGCTGGAGGCTTCCCTCAGGCAATGAACAGATGAGTTTAGCTGGAACAGACTTTGTTATCTTTTGACACTTTATTGGGGAATCAGTTACTTCTGTGAAAGAAAAGGTGTTTCTGGTGGCGTTTGCCTTTCTGAGCAATGCAAAGCCTCTGACAAGCTACAGAAGTGAGTCCCAATGCTCAGCTCAAGGGCGGACCACCATTACCCCCCGCAATGTGTCAGCTGGGGCAGGAGTTATAAGCAGCCTACATACAGTGAACTCAAGCTCCCCCTTTTCATTTGAAGAGGATTCAATATAGTAACCTGTACTGCCCCAACCAAGCAAGCCTTGGGGCCCCCAGCTCCCCCCAAGACCCCCCAGCGTGACCCGGAGCCAGGTGCTGCAGCATCATGGACAGTGTGGCACCTGAACCACGCACAGAGACAACCCTCTCCTACCCCACTGCAAACCTCTCCCTGCTAAAACTCTCCCCCTACACCCCCACTTCTTCCCCTGCATGGCTGGAGGACAAAGAGGGGTTTTGCAGGTTCAGGAGACCTTTCTTTATTTCTCTTCCTGGAAGCCTGGTTATTATAGCAGTAGCCTCTAGCTACATCTGTGAAGAGGAGCACCTCCACCAAGCATCTCCTGTAATAATGACTTCTTTTTTCTTTGAACTTGCAAAGCACTGTTGTATGACATTAAGAAGGTGAATCCAAAGAGGACCATAGATGTAGGGTCATTCCAAGTAAACCCTGACGGGACGCAAGAGAGGAGTAAGGTAACAGAAAAATTATATGACAGCACATAATTGCTGATATGTGCAATTACCAACCACTTATCCAAACAGCAGTTGGTCTTAATCTTACAACCTTTTTTCTTGCTAAGGGTATCAGCCACTAAATTGCTTCTGCTTCCTCTGGGACCCAAAGTAATCTTTAGGCTTGAAATTGAGGTATTTTCCTTCCTTTTCAGTACCTACATTTCTTTGCCTTTTTAATATTTGAAGCAGTATTGTTCCATTGTTAATCTTGATAAAAAATAAATCAGAGCTACATGCATTATTAAGATAGAGAAAGGAAAAGGGAGAATGAGAGGGAGAGAATATACATTCTACCTAGAGACAGACCATTATCTAATGAGGCATTGCACGGGAGGTCCAAATAGTGCTCATTGCCATCCATGGGCTTCATGTGGGTGATGGATACCTTCAACTTCCATTGCCCACAGTGGGAACAGAGGGTGGCGGACCAAGCCCTCACATTGCCAAGGTCTAGGAGCAGACCTTGGCTTACTCTATGTGTTTTGCAGCATGGAAAATACAGATCATACTAGATACATGTAAATAGAAAAACCTCTGGAAATGTTTGGTGAGCTAGGTCATTCAGCAAATATTTCAGAGGATTGTTGTTGACTCAGATAATGGACTTTTCCTTCATTGCTGTCTGTAAATTGAGAGGCTTAAGAAACTATTTAAGGTGTAATGAAAATTAAATCTGCTTCTTTGTAAATGGCAACAGCCTTCTCAAGATGTTGCTTCTCAGGCCTGGGTTTACATGTCTATTCCCAAGCTATCACTGAGAATGACAAAGGACCAAGCTGTCCAAGGATATGTCTGGAAAGAGGCCACAGCTTTCCAAGGCAGCAGGAGGTGAGGTGAATTGGAAGCTGTCCAAGACATTTGAGTCTTCTGAAGTCCAACTCCAAGAAATTTATCTTCACTGTCAGTGGGAAATTCAGGCTCGGGGTACCACTGTGGTCAATAGTGTGTCAACAGCAATGGTCAAATAAGATTGACAACTAAGAGAAAATGAGAGGAGGGCACAGTGGTTTGCCTGATGTTACATGGTTAGTCTATAGCAGAACAAGTGATAGCTCTTGGGGTGCTCCTGGACTGATCCCAGGTCAGCATCCCAACCGTTGGACCTTGATGCCTCTAACAGCGTGGGTTGATGTCAGACTTCAGCAGTGGGCTGATATGTGTGGTCTTCCTCGCTTGGAGCAAGAAAGTCATCTCAGTGCACAAATGATGTCTCGATGTGGGCAAGAGTATGAATGGGTGCCCACACCTGCCTGTGGACACATGGACACACGAGAGATGACTGCAGTAGGTCTTGATGCAAGAAGTAAAGCAACGCAGATAACTAAGCATACGTTAATAAAGTTTGACTCTAGTGCATACTGCCATTCTTGTTTATTCATATGTTGACCCCAATATTAGCAGTACACATTTCTTAAACAAAATCCATGTCCTGCACTGCTAATTGTTAACATAACAGAGGGTTCGTGAACCCGTCTTTCATCACATCACTTAAACATTATTTAAACAGTGTTTTATTACATTTATTTCTTCAGAGGTAAAAACATTTCCTTGCTATGCCTGTCAACTGATTTGAAAACTAAATATCTAAATTGCTGTAGTTTATTTTTCACAACGATTTCTATATTGTTTCAGTATTAGCCTTTGAGAATAAAACAAAAAATGTAGCCTTCTGTTGTCTTAATTTTGGGATATCAGAAGAATGCTTTCCCAGGAAAGAAATATTGGCTGGCTTGTTAACAGAATGAGTTTTAGACCCTGGTTTGGATCTTCAAAAGTGAGCAAGGGAGTTAGATGCCCAAACCCAGTGACTTTCAATGAGAATTGGTTACTTAAAATTCAGAGGCCTCCTTCAAAAGCTCATCCCTAATCTCTTCAGAGCAATTTCTACTTCATTGTAAGGGGGAAAAGGATCTTCACACAGGAGTTAGCGGGGCTCATTGAAAGAGCTTTAAACTAGACTTGAAGGGGGAAAGGGATAAAACCAGGCTCACTAGATATAAGCCTGAGGGTGGCACACCAATGTTTGAGGGACAGTGTGCTAGTAAGGTCCTTTGGTCTGCCATCTCAGTGGAGGTAGGGGATGGAGACCATGCAGCAGCAAAGACGCAAGGGTTATTGATGTGTTAGAAACCACAAAAGCTCCTGAGAATGGTCACATAAGAATTACGGCTTTGTCCCCCAAAACAGGTGGCAGGATCAATAGCCCAACTGAAGTGCATCTACACCAATGCACGCAGCATGGGCAACAAACAGGAGGAGCTGGAAGCCATTGTGCAACAGGAAAACTATGATATAGTTGCCATCATGGAAATGTGGAGGGATGTCTTGCACAGCTGGACTGCTGCAATGAATGGCTATAAACTCTTCAGAAGGGATAGGCAAGGAAGGAGAGGTGATGGGGTAGCTCTGTATGTTAGGGAGTGTTTTGATTGTCTAGAGCTTAATGATAGTGACAAGAGGGTTGACTGCTTATGGGTAAGAATCAGGGGGAAGGTCAACAAGGCAGATATCATGGTGGGAGTCTGTTATAGACCACCCAACCAGGATGAAGAGGCAGATGAAATATTCTATAAGCAGCTGGGAGAAGTCTCACAATCGCTAGCCCTTGTTCTTGTGAGGGACTTCAACTTACCAGATGTCTGCTGGAAGTACAATATAGCAGAGAGGAAACAGTCTAGGAGGTTCCTGGAGTGTGTGGAAGATAACTTCCTGACACAGCTGGTAAGGGAGAGAACTAGGGAAGGCACCCCGCTGGACCTGTTGTTTGTGAACAGAGAAGGACTTGTGAGTCCTGTGATGATTGGAGGCCATCTTGGGCACAGCGATCATGAAATGATAGAGTTTTCAATTCCTGGAGAAGTAAAGAGGGGGGTCAGCAGAACTGCTACCTTGGACTTCCAGAGGGCAGAGTTTGGCCTGTTTAGGAGACTGTTTGAGAGAGTCCTTTGGGAGGTGGTCCTGAAGGGCAAGGGAGTCCAGGAAGGCTGGACATTCTTCCAGAAGAAAATATTAAAGGCGCAGGAGCAGGCCTTCCCCATGTGCCAAAAGACAAGCCAGTGGGGAAGACCAGCCTGGCTGAACAGAGAGCTTTGGCTGGAACTCAGGAAAAAAAGGAGAGTTTATGACCTTTGGAAAAAGGGGCAGGCAACTCAGGAGGACTACAAAGATGTTGTGAGGTTATGCAGGGAGAAAATTAGAAGGGCCAAAGCCCAACTTGAACTTAATCTGGCTACTGCTGTAATAATAAAAATATGTCTATAAATATATTAGCAACAAAATGACAGAGGATGAGGAAAAGGCTTAGGTACTTAATGGCTTCAGTGCCTCAGTCTTTAATAGTAAGACCAGTTGTTCTCCAGGTACCCAAACCCCTGAGCTGGAACACAGGGACAGAGAGCAGAATGAAGCCCCCATAATCCAAGGGGAAATGGTTAGCAACCTGCTACACCACTTAGACGCACACAAGTCTATGGGGCCGGATGGCATCCACCCAAGGGTACTGAGGGAGCTCGCAGAGGTGCTCACCAAGCCACTTTCAATCCTTTATCATCAGTTCTGACTCACTGGGGAGGTTAGCAAATGTGACACCCATCTGCAAAAAGGGCCAGAAGGAGGATCCGGGGAACTACCAGCCTGGCAGTCTGACCTTGGTGCCAGGGAAGGTTATGGAGCAGATCATCTTGAGTACCATCACGCAGCATGTATAGGACAACCAGGTGATCAGGCTCAGTCAGCATGGATTTATGAAAAGCAGGTCCTGCTGGACTAACCTGATCTCCTTCTGTGACAAGGTGACCTGCTCAGTGGATGAGGGAGAGGCTGTGGATGTTGTCTACCTAGACTTTAGTTAAGCCTTTAACACCATTTCCCACCGCATTCTCCTGGAGAAGCTGGCTGCTCATGGCTTGGATGGGTATACCCTTTGCTGGGTAAAAAACTAGCTCGGTGGCCAAAGACTTGTGGTGAATGGAGTTAAATCCAGTTGGCGGCCAATCACAAGTGGTGTTCCCCAAAGCTCATTTATCAATGATCTGGACAAGGGGATTGAGTGCACCCTCAGTAAGTTTGCAGATGACACCAAGTTGGGCAGGAGTGTTGATCTGCTCAGGGGTAGGAAGGATCTACAGAGGGATCTGGACAGGCTGGATCAATGGCCAGAGGCCACCTGTATGAGGTTCAACAAGGCTCAGTGCCAGGTCCTGCACTTGGGTCACAAAAACCCCATGCAACGCTTACAGGCTTGGGGAAGAGTGGCTGGAAAGCTGCCTGGCAGAAAAGGACCTGGGGGTGTTGGTCAACATGAGCCAGCAGTGTGCCCAGGTGGCCAAGAAGGCCAACAGCATCCTGGCTTGTATCAGGAATAGTGTGGCCAGCAGGACTAGGGAAGTGATCATGCCCCTGTCCTTGGCACTGGTGAGGCTGCACCTCAAATACTGTGTTCAAGTTTTGGGTCCCTCACTACAAGACAGACGTTGAGGTGCTGGAGTGTGTCCAAAGAAGGACAACAAAGCTGGTGAAGGGTCTGGAGCACAGGTCTTATGAGGAGCAGCTGAGGGACCTGGGGTTGTTTAGCCTGAAGAAGAGGCTGAGGGGAGACCTTATCGCTTTCCACAACAACCTGAAAGGAGGTTGCAGCGAGGGGAGTGTTGGTCTCTTCTCCCAAGTAACAAGCAATAGGACAAGAGGAAATGGCCTCAAGTTGCACCAGGGGAGGTTTAGATTGGATATTAGGAAAAATTTCCTCAAAAAAAGGGTTGTCAAGCATTGGAACAGGCTGCCCAGGAAAGTGGTGGAGTCCCCAGCCCTGGGGGTGTTTAAAAGCTGTGCAGATATGGCGCTTAGGGACATGGTTTTGTGGTGGACTTGGCGGTGCTAGGTTAATGATTGGACTTGATGATCTTAAAGGTCTTTTCCAACCTAAATGATTCTATGATTCTACCTGTGGATTTAAACTTCAG